GAGCACGTCTCCTACGTATGTTAATTACTATTACACATTTATACTAAGAGCCTCGAAGGGCTGTTGATATGTACATTAAGATCGAGACAATGAGGCTGGATTGGTACTCCAAGCCAGAAAATCAGAATATTATACGCGCGGACCTCTACCAGGTACCATTCTTGGGGTTGTTTTTATATGACATTAGCGACGTCACTTTTAATATATAGTTTAGTATTCTTAATGCATGCATTATGTATCTTCTATGTAGGGTCTTGTAGACACGATCGCTGCTGGTGAGCCATGTGGTGATCGGATTGGTAAAAGGATTGTGCTCCCAAGGACATTTCCTGGTGGTGATAGAGACATGCAGAGAAGGTTCCTAGATGCAATTGCCATAGTTCAGCGATGGGGTAAACCATATTACTTCATCACAATCACATGCAACCCATGCTAGGAGGAGATAACAACAGAGTTGATGCCCGGACAGCTACCACAGGATCGACCAGACCTACTTGCAAGAGTGTACAAAGCAAAGCAGCGAGATTTGATGGTCTTACTCATCAAGAAGAAGCATTTTGGTGAGGTTGCGGCCTATGTTCATGTGACCAAGTTTCAGAAAAGAGGGCTCCCACATGAACATATCCTTCTAATCATGAAGGCAGGCAGCAAGTTAAAGACTCCAGTTGACTATAACAGAGTCATATCAGCACAAATACCTGATAAAGATAAATATCTTGTCCTGCATGCTCTGGTCATAAAACACATGTTGCACGGGCCATGTGGTGTGCTCAATAAAAAATGTGCTTGCATGATTGAGGAGCAGTGTCGTTTTCACTATCCTCTAGAGTTTTGCCCCACTACACAACAGGGAAAGGACTCATATCCCATATATAGGAGGAGGGATGATGGACCTCGAGTAAAAGTGAGAGGAGCAGAGTTGGACAATAGGTGGGTGGTGCCTTACAACCCCTTTCTTCTCATGAAGTACAACTGCCACATCAATGTAGAAGCTTGCTCAAGCATCAAGGCAGTGAAGTATTTGTTCAAGTACATTTACAAGGGACATGACCGAACATTATTTTCATTCGAGCAGGATATCATCAACAATGGGGGGGGGTCATTAATGAGATCTGCCAATACCGAGATGCATGATATGTATCACCTCCAGAGGCTATCAACAGGATTTTATGCTTTAAAATGTTTGAAATTAGTCATTCAGTCTTGAAGTTGCAACTTCATTTGCCAGGCATGCACATGGTTGCATTTAAAGCCAATGATAATCTGAAAGATGTTGTTGATAAGCCATCTTCTTCGAGAACCATGCTTACTGAGTACTTCGAAATGAATCGAAAGAATCCTTATGCACGACAATGGCTGTACAGAGATTTTCCAGAACACTTTAGATGGGATGCATCAAAGAAGAGATGGTATAAAAGAAAACAAAGGCCACCGATTGGTAGAATTGTGTATGCACACCCTGCTGAGGAGGAGAGGTACTATTTGCGGGTGCTCTTGAATCATGTCCGAGGTGTAACATCATATGATGATTTGAAAAAGGTGCGAGCCATTACGTGCTCTACTTTCAAAGAGGCGTGTGAACAATTAGGATTAATTGAGCATGACAAATCACTTGATCACTGCCTGACTGAAGCTACCACATTTCAGATGCCTCGTGCTCTTAGACGCTTGTTTGCCACAATCTTAATATTTTGTGAGGTTACAAAAATCCAAGAGTTGTGGGACAAACACCTGGAGTCGATGTCTGAGGATTACCGACGTTCCCAGCCCAACGAGGCAATACTTGAGCAGATGGTCCTTAGAGACATCAGGGATTTGCTGCATTCCATGGGGAAGAATATTAAAACCTATGGCCTTCCCGAGCTGGTTGATACAAATGCTTTTCTAGGCGATGAGTGCATGCAGCTTAGAGAGGAGAGGGAGATCGATGTGGACCAAGAACATATTGACTTATCAACTCTTTAAACAGTGAGCAACTAGCTAGGGTTCAATGACACCATGGACCATATCATGAACAAAAGAAGCCAAGTCTTCTTTCTCGATGCTCCAGGAGGCACTAGGAAGACATATGTTCAAGGCGTTGCTTGCTAAGGTGCATTCAATGGGTGAGATAGCCATTGCCACTGCTACATCAGGTATAGAAGCCTCGATATTACCTGGAGGGCGTACTGCGCACTCTAGGTTCAAAATACCCATCAAACTCACCGACAATAGCATGTGTGGTTTCACAAAGCAAAGTGGTACGGCAAAATTTTCGAAAGAGGCGTCCTTGATAATTTGGGATGAAGTTGCCATGACAAAGCGTCAAGCCGTGGAGGCGCTTGATAGGTCACTCCAAGACATAATGGGATGTGCTTTGCCATTTGGGGGGAAGATTGTCGTTTTTTGTGGAGATTTTAGGCAGGTCCTTCCAGTGGTTCCAAAAGGGACAAGAGCACAGATCACAAATGCTACAATATAGAGATCCTATATATGGTAGAAGATTCATAAGATACACCTTACATGTAACATGAGATCACAAGCTGGCCCTTTGTTCTCTGAGTATCTCTTAAGGATTGGCAATGGAATCGAAGAAACGATAGGTGATGATTATGTGCGTCTCCCTGAGGACATCGTGATCGGTCATACTGATGATGAAACTGCAATCAATAGGCTATTCAAAGAAGTTTCCCCCTCTCTTAGTGACAATACTAAATAGGGAGAGTAAATGAGCTCGTGTGCTATTCTTTCCACGAAGAATGACTATGTTGATGAGCTGAATTCCAAGATGATTGACATGTTTCCTGCCCAAGAGAAGGTATACCATAGCTTCGACTCTATTGAGTATGACTACTCGAAAATTACTCAATTGACTTTGTGAATTCTCTCACCCCAAATGGATTGCCACCACATGTGTTGAAAGTGAAGGTCAATTGCCCCGTCATTCTGCTATGAAACCTCGACCCTCACAATGGCCTCTGAAATGGAACAAGGCTAATGATTAGAGCCTTCCAAGATAATGCAATTGATGCAGAGATTGTTGGTGGGAAACATGTTGGGAAGAGGGTCTTTATACCGAGGATCCCTTTGTCACCATCGGAGGACATCTCGCTTTCCTTCAAGCTTAAGAGGAAACAATTCCCCATCCGCCTAAGTTTTGTGATGACCATTAACAAGGCGCAGGGCCAGACCATCCCAAATGTTGGCATTTATCTTCCCGAGCCGGTGTTCTCCCATGGTCAGCTGTATGTTGCCTTGTCAAGGGGTGTATCAAGGCGGACGACGCGAATTTTGGCCGAGCCGAACAAACAGATTGATAAATCAGGAAAAAGCACAAAATATTGTCTATAGAGATGTTTTAGAGGGTTGATGCAGGTTCGTTCTTCCTTGATTGATATTTATTCAAGCTATTTTGTAGTCAACCATACTTTTTAGCTTTTTTATTTTTTATTTGAATCATCATTTTATTTAAATACATATGGGCACGCCAACAAATTTTGAAGTATTTTTAGATGGTTTTTGATTTACGAAATGTGTTTACAAGTCTGAAATGGTTTCATGTTATGAATTATGAAGTAGTTACCTATCGCTTATGGAGATATGACCTTCCTAACTACTGATTAGCCACATACATGACTTTCCTAATTTTCTACTGATATTAATCAATTTATATTCCAAAAAAAATTTGTGGGGTCAGGTATGTCTTTCACTCCTAAATAATATCAATGTTTTCCTAAGAAATAAATTTGGATTCTATAGTTAATGGCTTGGTAACTCTTGCTAAATTACATATAAATACTGCAATCTGATCCAACTTTACACAATGCAGATATGAAAGGGAAAATCCAAATTGATGTGATATGGGATTCACATTGATGTTTCATGACCTTTGGTCCCTGTAATACTGGAAGCAATCCAATCGCTTGTTCATGTGTCAAATAAGAAGATGTGCATGTTTCCAACACTTATCTTCAGGAGTGAAATTGTTTTGCCACTGAAAAGGAGCATGTGTCATTTGTCTTCCCTGTCATGTAAAAAACATGTTTATTTCCCTTAAATTAGAGTGAAAAACAGGGAAGACTATTGGTTAATGTGATATTCTATTTTTGTCAGATGGCTTGAATTTTTTTTAACATTACTTTTAATGTTAATGTCATGTACCATCATATTTATTTCCAAACTGTGGTGTGAGGTTATATTGCTAGTTTATGTCATGTTCGGTTCACAAATATATATTGCCCGTCCGTGCCTTTAAGCTTTGTTGGTAGATTCTGTCATTTACAGTGCATAAAATCTATTTCTACTTTTAGTGTAAAATTGACTTGTACACAGTTTGATATTTTAAGACATTGTGCTTGCTTTTTTGCTATATCTATTATAGATGGTGTTCCAAGAGATTTTATAAAGTATGTCGATAGTCGGATCATTTATCCTTAACTTGATAGACAAGTTCAAAGATTTACATTCTTCAGAGTGCATAACTAACACGCTAGATCCTGACTTCGACTGCTTGCATAACCAACATTCAGTTCAAGGAAGCTTCAGGTCTTACCTTGAAAATTTCTTTTACGTCTTCCATGCTTTTCCAATTATTGATTACTAATTTTACACAAAAAAGTTCCCAATAATCTTTTCCAAAATAGTCCAACATAATCAAAGGAGTCACTAAAATTAGCTTGGAAATACCAAGGAAACCTGCAGGAATGGCCGCCGCAATAATCAATCCTCCTCCCTCGACACTTATGCCACCGCTCCCCGTCCTACGATCCAATTTTCTCTCTATTTCATAACTATATGATACGTGCGTTGCACGTGCATACTTACTAGTAAATAAAGCAGGCGAGATTTCTCAAAAAAAATCCAACTCCGATCGGGATCATAGCTCCTAGGTTTGTCCCCGCCTTTATTAGCCGAGGCAACACGGCGACCTCCCTAGTCCCTACCCCGATCGATCGAAAGGTAGGTTCTTCTCGACGCCCCCTCCACAAATCCCCACTTTGCACCGGCGAATCTTCTTGGCGATGGCTGGTAAGCAGGGCCGCAAGAAGGCGAGGAGCCCCCCCGGATGCCCTCAGCTGCGTCCGATCGGCAGCACCATCTCCGGATCAAAGAAGCCTGCGGCGGTGATGGTTCCTTCGTGCAAGTACCACCTGTCGGAGGCATCTGTCCAGGCGGTCCTAAACCACAAGAGGGTGCCTTTCGTCATTGGGGACTACTTCGACGACCTGACCCCTGAGGAGCAGCAACTCACGCTCGAGGTGGCCGCCCAGCACGAGGAGGTCGAGGACAGGTACGCCAAGTACCAGGAAAGAGTCCGCAAGGAGCTGGATGAGAAGGGATTCGTCGCGCTCCCCGATGACGTTGACAAGAGGAGGGCCGCGCTGAACGCGCGCTGAACGCCGCAAGCATCGAGGCTTTCAGAGGAGTCGCCAAGGTCAAGTAGGTTTTCAGGAACTTACATGGGAAGAAGAGGATGCATCATAGCGCCGTCTGCCTCTCTTGTTTTATCTATCTATATATATCTTTCTGTGTGATATCAATGCACTGGTCTAGATTTCCTGAATCTGTTCACTGGCACTCTTGTCATTTATCAAGCTGGAACTAGTCATTGTGATCTAAGTTGATCTATGTTTCACCTTGCAATAAACTTGTCTATAAATTATGGGTCCGAATAACTGCCACACGTGTGGCATCGACGGGAACCAGCCCGCACGCCTTGTGTGGCATGGACGGGAACCGGCCCGCACGACCATGTTCGCGCGCACAAACACACGGCCCGCATGTCCGTTGCGTGCCAACCCCGCCCGCACTGCCTCGTCCGGGCAAGCCGACCCGCTGCCCGCACGACCAAGCAGTTCATGGCCTCCGATCAATCCCCTCTCTCGTCTGCCGCCATCGTCCCCCACCTCTCGAACCCCAACCTCCATCGCCGGCCTTCTCTGGTTGCCATGGCAATCAGAGCAGATCCATAGGGCACTCCCTCCTCAAAACCACACCCCAACCCTCCCCACCCCAGGCTCCAAACTCCAACCCAGCCCTCCAGAGACGAAAATCTAAAAACCAGGTGAGAATCTCCCGATCTCGACGTTCTCATCCTTAAGGCTGAAAATCTCCCGATCTTGTGCTAGATCTATGCTATAGGGGTAGAACACTACATGATTCAGTGTGTAGTCGCAATTGCCAGGCAGAGTACACCAGATCTGCCATGTACTACATTTGAAATTGACTTAACTTCCTAGCTTAATTGACGCAAGTAGTTGGGTATGAAAAATGGATTAGTAGGAATCACTAAAGAAGGACAGTAGGGGCAAATTTTGGAATGAAGAGGGCTGGAAGAAATTAGTTGCCACTTGTGTATAGCGATAGTTGCCACCTTTCCTTGTCCGTAGCTGCCACCTATTTTGACCCGTCGCTTGCCATCCATATCTTCTATGTGCAAGCAGCAGAAGAATACAATTCTTGTGGATTGTTGATGCCTTCTTGTTCATGCAGTGGTTGAGAACACATTGGAAAGAAGCGAGACACGGAAAGAATGAATCACGAAGATGGCGCTGATGCTTGGGGTTCTCAAAGGCCAGAAACGCCCCCTTGGGATGCAACAGAGTACAGTCAGCTCATCTCTTCAGGACCGTTGCTGCCACTACTAGAACAGTATGCAGGCGTAGGTATGATGCGTGATAACAAAAGAAGAGAACAGTTGCCATCTTCGCAACGATGAAGATGACATTCTACTTATGTCGTACACTGTCATTTTTTCGCAGGTTCTTATGACCAAAACACAATTAGGGGGCCCCCGTGGCAAGTTCACTCACAAGGCGCTAACACTGACAAATGTACGGGCAACCAACTTCAACTAGCTTGTATGGATAATCAAGGTAATGCAAACTGAGAAAAGAGAACATACTGCAGTGGACATCAAAAATGAACATGCAAAAAAAACTGGCAAAAGGACTCACGAGTTACCATGGGTGAAAATGCAGAGCCTTCATGCAACGCGTGGCATCAGGCAGCACCAATGTACCTGCCATCGACATCATACACAGGTGAGTACATAAAAAAAGTGAAGTTGCAGATGATCAATTAGCAGAAGGAGCATAGTTGACAACTACAATTGCCATGACTGGACAACTACAGTTGCCGTGTATTAGAAAATACACTTGACATCTCTGCACAATTGTTGTTGCCATCCATGGACACCTGTAGTTGCCAGGGAAGAACAACTGCAGTTGCCATGCCAGTGTGACTACATTTGCCATGCCATGGCAACTGCAGCTGCCATGAAGGAACAATTGCGGTTGCCATGCTGATGCAAATACAGTTGCCATGCCAGTAAAACTGCAGTTGCCACAGAAGGGGCAACTGCGGTTGTCGTGCTAACACAAAATGCATTTGCCATGAATTGACCAACCACTACTTTGCGTACAGGTTATTACGCTGGTGGTAACCCGACAAATGTCTCGTGGCAAGCTTCAGAAACTGCAGGTGGAGCACGTCATTTTGGTGTCACAGACCACACAAGAAGGTCAAATGCAACACAACAAGGTAAGGGAAAAAAACTGAACCACAAAAACAGCACTACATTTGTTATTTGAAGTTATTTGTAGGCAAAAACAATAGTTGCCATGTTTGTTGAACAGTAGCTGCCATCACTGGACAGCTGTAGCTGCCGTACATGTCCACGCGCAGAATCACGGCTTGCTATTTGAAATGATGTCGTGCCAAATCACTCGTAGATGGTGTGATCCATTGCGATACACATGTTATTCAAACAAAAAACTTACTTTCCTATTACAGGGCCTACAACTACAGTTAACAGCGGCGCGGGGACATCTACTGCGGGGAGCTCTGAGCGCACGGAAGACGCGTTCCACCAGCCAGCAGACAATCATGCCGCAGACAATTTCGAGTCACAGTCGAGAATGACAATCATTCCAGCAATACCGACAAGCACCCCTTTGAACACAAGCACTGCCAACACTCAAGTGGATGGAACTGCCGCCGATACTGAAGTGAATGATGAAACTGACGACGAGGCAGAAGGGGATGAAGATGGCGGGCAATCAGAGATCATGGTACCTCAGCCACCATACATTGGGCAGAGATTTGAATCGTTCGAATAAGCAAAGGAATACTACCAGACATATGCAATGTTCCATGGATTTGCGGTCAACACCGAGTACCATAGGAAAATTACGAAAACTAATGAGTACAACAGAGGTGAGATGAGGTGCCACAAGGCACGGAGGAACAAGAAGGGGAAAGGTGATGCGCCTGTCGTTCCGGAACGAAAGAGAGGTATCATTCTAAAGACTGAATGCCCTGTCCGGTGTAAGCTAAACGTAGATGGTACACAGTGGGTGGTCATTGACTATTTTGACGAGCACAACCACCAACTCATAAAGAAGTTCGACCTGGTAAAATTTCTGACCGCCCACAGAGGGTTCACCCCCGTCGAAAGACAATTCGTAAAGCTGCTACACGATTGTAACGTCGGTCCATCAAGAATGATCCAGATACTATCGCTCATCCACAGCAAAAAGGGGACTCTGAGTAGCATGCCGTACATACCAGCTGACGTCACAAACCTACAGGCCAAATACCGTAGAGAGAGCAAACTGGCAGACATGGAGGCCACAATTGCCTACTTCGATGAGAAAGCGAAGGAAGATCCAGATTTCTTCTACAGGATAAGGTTGGACGATGAGGACCGTGTCAGGAACATGTATTGGGTGGATGGTGCTGCAAGGAGAGCCTACAAACATTTCCGAGATTGCATTTCATTCGACGCGACGTACCTCACCAATATGTAGAAGATGCCATGCACTCCGTTCATAGGAATAAATAACCACAATCAGTCGTTGCAGTTCGGCTGCGGGCTCGTTCGGAACGAAGACACGGATGGGTACGTCTGGTTGTTCAAGACCTTCTTGGAGTGCATGGATGGACTTGTGTCGATGAACATAATAACAGACCAGGATTTCAGCATGCGGGCAGGCATAGAGGGGGTCTTTCCGTTGGCAGTGCAGAGGCACTGCAGGTGGCACATTATAAAGAAGGCTGAGGAGACGCTAGGACCGTTCTTTGCTGACCGTCCAGAGCTATACAAGGCATTCGAGCTGTGCGTGGACCACAGCTTGACGGTCGAGGAGTTTGAAAGGAGCTGGATGGCCATGGTTGAAGCACATGAAGTCCAAGACAACGAGACGCTTGCTAGCCTGTGGGAGAAGTGAATGTACTGGGTGCCCGCCTACTTCATGCAGTGCTTTTTCCCCTTTCTGCAGACTACACAGCGTAGCGAGAGGTTCAATGCTGTTTTGAAGCGATACGTGAGTCCTGGCAACTCATTGCTACAGTTTGCCAAGCAATATACAGCTTTGCAACAAAAAATACTGGGATCTGAGCTACAGCAAGAAGCGAACACCGCACTAAAACAACTAAAATTGCTGACGTATTTACCGATGGAGAGGCAAATGAGCAAGATATACACAAACAAGATCTTTAACAAGTAAGTCAGCTGCGTTACGGTCTTATTTGCGGAAAAGTACTAAGGCAGTAGGTGCCTAGTAGAGTGCAATGCAGTTGCCATGATATGCAGTTGCCATGTTTAATGAAATACTGTTTGCCATGCTTACTCAGCTGCAGTTGCCATGTTCAATGAAAATTCTGTTTACAATGCTTACTCGGATACATTTTCCATGTTCAATGAAGTGCAGATGCCATGTTTAATGAACTGTACTTTCATTGGGGCATGTTGGTATGCAAATGCCAATATCAACTGAAAAATGTTATATTGTCAACGCATATGCTGAAATGCAATTGCCATGTTTAGTGAAATGCAACTGCCATGTTTGTTGAAAATGCAATTGCTATGTTTTACTCAAATGTAGATGCCATGTTTTATGCACTGTGCTTCCATTGGGGGAAATATTGGTGTGGAAATGACGATGGCCAGTTGAAAATGTAGTACAGTTGCCATGTTCAGTGTACTCTAGTTGCCATGTCTGGTGTACTGCAGTTGCCATGTCTGGTATACTACAGTTGCCATGTTCAGTGTACTATAGTTGCCATGTCTGGTGTACTGCAGTTGCCATGTCTGGTATACTGCAGTTGCCATGTCTGGTATACTACAGTTGCCATGTTCAGTGTACTATGTTTGCCATGTTCAGTGTACTATGTTTGCCATATTCAAACAAAAATCTAGTTCTATTTCCATGACAGCGTAACGTCCTACAAAAAAAAGATCGCACGATAGATTAACATAAAACACACAAAACTTGCAGATTTCAGGAAGAAATAAAGCGTGCCAGCATGTTCACGGCTTTCCAGGTGGGCGAACATACGTTCAAGGTGTGTTCTATTTTGGGCATGTCGGATTCAGAACCTGAAGACCCACACA